AAAAAAGAGAAGAAGAAACTTATTTTGTTGCAAAAAAAAAAAAAAAAAGTTCCAAGGATATTTGTTCGTCTTTTTTCAGATCCGCCTTTTTTTGGTTACATCGGAAAAAAAAAAAAGAGAGGAGAAAGTCGATTCATTAAAAAAAAAAAAAAATTTGTTATATTTCAGATGTTGAATAAACAAACAAATTGCTAAGATATTAAGCGTAAAGAATGTTCAATCTACAAATGTTACTGATGTACATATATCTGTTCAATCAGTTCCTTTTCATCTTTCTATTTGTTCAACCAATTGATGCGCAAAAATTACTGGAATTTGTTCGTAGCAAACGTGATATACCATACGTAAGTGCTTTTCCCCGTTTATCAAACTGCAATTTTTACTTGATTATTAATTGTCGAAAAAAAAAAACCAACATTTATCAGTTTTCTTCTGCAAATTGTTGCAAACATAGAACAACATTTTTTATTTGGCTTCAAGAGTAAACTTCTATTTCAGAAGGCAAAAAAAAATCTATAAGTTTTGCATAGCAGTTAAACAGCAGTTAGACGGCTGATAAATAAAGACAAAAAAAGTGACTTATATACTATAAGCGCTTTATTTTTTATTAATTTTTTTTTTGCAAAATTTCTGTATCATTTAGATTAAAAATCATCTGCTTACTTTCAGCAGAATTCATTTGTTGCTTGCAATTTTTTTGTTTTTTTAAATTGTAAATTGTATGCAACAAATCTGTACAGAACACTAAACTGTTTTGACAACAACAAGAAGAAATTAATTCTTTAGCAAAGCCATTTTTTGGACTATCGATATCTTCGGCGAATAAAGGTGGGCGATCGGATGCCAGTAAATGCAGTAAGGCCATTTGGTAGGGCTCTTCGAGAGAATGGAAAAACAGTAGACTATGTTGTGGCGTTGTGGTTAGTTGATTATTTCTGTATTTTTAAGCTTTTTCCTCTTTGCTTTTAGCCTTTTTAATGTTGTATGATATAAATCACAGAAAAAAAAAATACGCTGATTAGTTGAGAGTTAAATTTTTTTTTTTTCTTTTGTAGATTAAAGAAGATTTTCTGTCAGTGCTAAACAAAGATTTCAAAAAGAGGCAGAAAAACAGAAAAAAATTTATTGATTTATATAGTATCATTTGCGGTATTACAGGGTCCCCAAAAACAAGAAATCTGTTTGGGGAAAAGCATGGGAAGAAAACGGTCAACTGAAAGCATTATTTTTTCATGACAATGTTGTAAAAACTAACGAACATCCAGATATCAAAGCTAGAGGTTATTTTATTGTCACCTACAATGGAACAGTTGAAGACAACGGTTTCAGGTGCAGTATTTTTGTTGCTTCTCTTTTATTGTCAAACTTTTTTTTGCTCCTTTTTTTTGTGAGAATCTTTTCATTGTCTTTTCTTTGAGATTTTTGAGGTGTTTAAAATAATTTCTAATAATAACACCAGTAAACATATAAAAAAATTTGTTTGCAAATTTAGCAAAGTATTTTTTTTTTTTTTTT